AGAGACCCCAGAGGACCCTGGTGATTTAGTCACCCATCAGTCTGGAGGACTTTCTTCTCCTGCTGTGAGGTGGTGGCTGGTTTCCAGACCGTCGTGGTTGTGCCAGGTTGCCAGATTGGCAGGGCTCTGTGACAACATTGCTGGGTGAGGTGTTCTAGTGTTCTTGGGCAGTGGATCATTCATTCTCTTCATGAAACAGCTCTTGAACCAGCCAAAGGCCTTGGTTTCATTTCTGTCTCTGGGAGTTTTGGGGTGTTTTGCTTTTATTCCACAGCAGTGCCTGGTGGCTCAGAGGACACAGCTTCCATCAGAGCTGTGGTCACAGGTCAGCTGTGGTCAGGGCTTTCCACCAGCACCCAGGAGTGGGCCAGACCTGCTCCTCAGGTCTGTGTCCCTGAGTACCATGTTCAGCACCTCCCTGGTTCTCTGGAGTGGCAGGAGCCAGGGCCACCCCCAGGAGTCCTGTGTGCTCCCTTGGCGACACCAGGCCTGTCCCTTGGGCATTCCCAGCAGTCTGAGGGATGCAGATCTGCACCCCTTGGAACACTCGGATCTCCAAGGACCCTGCAGCCCCACAGAAAGCTCTGGAGTTCCTGCTGGTTTGGGCTCTGCTCTCCTGCCTCTCACCCGCACCCGTCACTGGGCGAGCAGGTTAGATGGGTTTGGGAGCCCTGTTCCTGGCGTGGCCCTGACTTCCACCCAGCTTCCTTCTGGCAGCTGCCTGTCCCCTGCCTGCAGGCTGTGGGTGGGGGCTTCCCGGGCCAGTGGGTGCTTGCAGTACTTGCAGTTATTCCACCTGATCTCCTTACTCTTGCTACCCCTTTCTCCATCCTTCTGCAGGCACTTGGAGGTGCCTCTGGGAGCACCCCGGGCTGTGGGGTGAGTCCCCGTTGCCTGTTTTCTGTGGGATGGAAATTTGTCTTTCTGCCAGGGGGCTCATTCCCAGCAGCTGACAGGAGGGAACAAGGCACCCCACGCTGAGCCTCGGGCTGGTGGAGGCCCAGCTCCTCAGGGCCCTGGGATGTCTGGCCATGCCCAGCCCTGCCCGTCTGCCCTCCTGGCTGGGGACAACCAGTGTCACAGCTTTGCTCTGGTGGCCTTGATCTGTGGTCCTGCATGAGCTCTTGGGTGATACTGGGAAGTGCGTTGACTGAGACTTTAGTAAGAAAGCAGATGAAAGGTGTGGGAAGGAGAAGTTGGCAGATGAAACGAGGCACTGGGGGCAGCTCCCGACACTTCCCGTCCCGTGCAGCGTGTTCCCGCAGGGCTCAGTCGGTGCCTGCCCTGGCAGCTGAGCCAACAGGCCCTTCCATCTCCTCCTTGAAGCCTGTGGCCTGCTCAAGTCGCCATGTCCTCCCATCTCTTAGGCTGTCCCCTCCTCTGGCCTCTTCCCTGTGCTGTGCAGGCCCTGAGCCAGTGACTGCTCGTTGTCTGCACCTTTCTGTTCTGAGTCCTTCACAAATTCATTCCTTCTTCTGCCTCATGCCTTTTTATGCCAAGAGTTACTACATCTGAGGTTCAGCTGAGTTCTTCCCTGCTCAGGCACCCCGTGGATACTCTCTGAAGTTCTCAGTATCCCCCCATTACACACCAATGGGAAGGATTTGTCCCGTGGGTTTAACCAAGTTTTCAGCTTCTGCCGGGTTTCTGGATTTCGACAGCGACCGCAGGTGGTTGTTCAGGTGGATCAGCAAAACACCTGCCAGGAGCAAAACCAAGGTGTTTGCCCAGACCTGTCACCTTGTCGGGGTTCTCCCACACCCCTGTGGTTTGTTCTGGATCCCTGCTGAGGCCTTGGAGCAGTCTCCTGAATTCCTCAGGGGAATTTCTCCTCTGCCCCAAACTCAAGGGTGACACCAGCCCTCACAGTCACCTTTGCATCCTTCAGCCCCAGCTCCTTTCCTGGGCTGTGGGTGTCTGCAGGACTCTGGCAGGCTTTTGTGTCCTTGGTGACTCAAGAAACACCTTGACTTGTCTCCAACACCAGGCAAACTTATGGGCTAAGGGAAATTATTCTGGCCTGGCAAAAATTACGGAAGAGGTTACAGAGAATATGTGAAATATAAAGTACAATTTAGCAGGGTTTCTTCTAGAAGCTTTAGTGTCCATCACCTCTAACGTCTGTAGGGTTTGTCCCAGCTGCTGTGGCAGGAGCTCAAACTCTGCAGCCTCTCCCAAACTGAATCCTTCCCTCAGTTGTAGCTTCATAGAAGTGCTGATGAGGTTACTGAAGTACTCAGAGCAGAGCCACCTCAGGGTGGTTCCTGGGCCTGGAAGCCTTGCTGGGCTCACCTGCTGGGCTGGCAGGTTCTCTGTGCTCAGCACAAACCATCTCTTCTCTCACACCTTGAATCGTTTTCTTCTTTTGACGTGGTTTACACATTATGCATCAATTAAGTACTGATTGCACAGGCTTTACTGTGGCTGCTCCTGAGTGGAGCTGCCTGGGCAGCTCTCCTGGCCTCAGTAGTTCTTGCCCTCTGCACCTCTGCTGCCAGCACAGCCTGTGCAGAACCTTCCTTGTGCAGCACTCAGCCCTGCTCTGCAGATGTCTCTGCTAATGGCTCAGAAGTCACTGGCAGGATGGCACGTTGTTTTGCTTCTCCATGTCCCTGGTTGTCCCCTATCAGCCTCTGGAGAAGCTCCCTGGTGATCTTCACTCCTCCGATGAACCTCTGGCCTCTTTCACACAGAGAAGTACAAGCAGAGCAGGTTCCCCCTCATTTTGCTGCCAGAAGCTTTCCTGTCTCAAGACCTGTCCAAGTCCCATGCTTGCTGGAGGCCACCTGCCCACAGCAGGGCTCTCCTGAGGCCACAGAGTGTGGCCTCCAGCTCCTCAGCCTGAGCCCCATGAGGCCCTTTGGGTACCAGGGTCCCTTTCCCCCCGAGTTGGGCTGGCTGTGAGGATCTGTCCCTTGGTGCTGCCTGTTCTCCAGTGTGGGGCTCCACTTGGAGCCTGTGGTCTTCAAGGACACTTGGTCAGGGCAGCACGTCTGCCCACAGGCTTCACCTCCCTGCTGGGGAAGGGTGTTTTCTCTGGCCTCAGCTGACCCTGCTGCTGGCACACTGCTGCAGAGCCTGGGTAGCCCTGGTGAGCAGGGACACACTGGGTTCCCAGAAACATCTCTCAGGTCCCTGGATGCAGCTGTGAAGGAGCTCCATCTCAGAGCAGGATTTTCCTGCAGCACACCTTGCTGCCCTCAGAAGTCCCTTGTTCCACCTCAGAGAGAATGAAGTTGGGCTGAACCTTGGACGGCTCTTCTTTAAGAGAACTTCTCTCTATGTCTTCTCCCATTTCTCTCATAAAAGATGAGACAACCCATACCTTGAGTGAAAGCTGCACCCTTTGAGGATATCCCACTGGGCACGGTATACACGAGTGTTTTTTCTCTGGTAGATCCTCGTGTTTGCATCTGCCTGCACTTTCTGCTGTCAGCAGTAGGTGGGAGTGGAGAAAGTCCCGGGCTGTGGGCTGCGGCTGCTCTGTGGCTGGGAGGGGGTGGGCTGCTCCCTGCCAGGGATGTCGGAGCTCTCCTGGCCTTCTGGGAGCAGCTTCTTCAGCGTATTTTTGAAATACTGTTAAAAGATCAGCAGAACTGCCAAAGGGATCTCAGGCTGCCACGTGCCTCTTTGTAGTAAGACTTTCTGGGCTGCAGATCTGAAATGCTTGTGTCCCTTGGGACCTTTCGTAAGCCATTTCCAGAGCTTGTGTGAGCAGAGCAGGAGGGAACAGCTACTTATCTGGATGAAAAGTGTCATTGAGATGGCTGCCCAAACTGCAGTTAGATCTTCCCCCTCCCTGAAGGCAGGCGAGTTGCTGGTGAAAATGCAGCACGTTGTCCCACATGTTCTAAGACACAGGCCACTGCAGCCGAGGCCACGGTGGTCCAGAGGTGTGTGCCACCCTTGGTCTGCTAGGGTCAGCCCCAAGCCTGTGGCAGGGATGGATTTTATGTAGAGTGTGAGCTTGGCTTGTGGTACCCCAGGATGTGGGAAAGGGGACGATGTGAGTCTCAGGGACGTACATCCCTGGGGGGGCTATAGCTGTCGTGAGACCGGGGAGGGACCCAGTGGGACTTGGAGCCAGGCTCTGGGATCTCACAGCTTCGTGTCCAACAGCCTCTGTGGAGAGGAGGGTTCTCACCAGCACTGTCCAAGGGATGGCTGTTCCAGTCCTATGTTGGGAGAGGGAGCACACTGAGGTGTCCGCAGCCCTGGCTCTCAGAAGGCAACCAGTGGCTGCTGCGTGGAGCTGCCTGGTCCATTGCTGCCCCTGTGCCTGTTTGCATAGTTCTAACACTTCACTAGTGGAACAACTAAAGCAGAAAGAGAGGGAACAGCTTTCCCAAGATCCCGCGTTGGGCAGGAGTGGTGCATGACATGGGTTGTGTCCCCCTGTTGCATTTTTTGTTCCCCATGCCCGACGCTGCGTAGGTGGAAGGTGTTTGGGGCAACTGCTGGTCTCTGACTGTCCCCTCTGGTCCTGCCCTAGGCCACCAATGGTGGAGGAGCCTTCAGTGACTACTCCTCCTCTGTGCCCTCCACACCCAGCATCAGCCAGCGGGAGCTGCGGATCGAGACCATCGCTGCCTCCAACACCCCCACCCCCATCCGCAAGCAGTCCAAGCGCCGCTCCAACATCTTCACGGTAAGTGCCCTGGGGCGGAGGAGCTTTGGGAGGAGCTGTCCCAGGGTCAGGCACGAGAGGGAAGGGAGCAGCCCTCGGCAGGCTCATCCCCAGGGCTCTGAGCTCCGGTGACACTGGCTGGACTGGCCAGGGAGGGACGGGGTCGGGGACCAGAGCAGGAGTGGGGGTCTCCCTGTAGGAGGGTGCGTGTGTGTCAGGGAGGGAGGGAGCCTCGGGGCCGTGGTGCTGAGAGCTGCTGCTGGTGGGTGTGTGTGCCTGGGGAGCACCTCGGGCAGGGGTGTGCGTGGGGTGTGCTGGTGTGTGCGTGTGGGTGAGCAGAGCTCCCTGCCCTGTCCTGGTGAGAGCTGCCCGTGGGGCACAGCACTAGGCACCCCTTGCTGCCAGTCCCCTGAGCGTGGCACCGGGCCCTGGTGACTGGGCCTGATGTTGGGTGCCAGCTGAGCTGAGCCGTGCTGTGCTGTGCTGGTGGAGCCGTCAGAGCCCAGTGCCTGGCACCAGCCCCACTCCCCCCCAGCTCCCCACCCCACCTCAGGGTGAGGAGCAGTGTGCTGGGAATGGCCGTGGGGCCTGGAGGAGGGGGAGGCAGAGAGGACCAGCAGAGCCCCTGGTGTGTGGGGACGTTGCAGCTCTGGTCCCTGCCGGCTGGCTCAGCCTGCCTCTCCGCACACTCCACGCACACACGGTCCACGCAGCGTGCACACAGTCCTGCCCACACACCTGCCTCTCTGCCAGCACAGCCCACCAGCGTCCCCTGCTGTCAGCACACACGCTCCTAGTCCCCATGTCTAGCATAGATAGCCTCTGTTCCCCATGTAAATGTGCTCCTCTCCCCCTGGTGCCCCTGTAAATGTGCTGGGCTCAGGCCTGTCTCCTCCCCATCTAAATGTGCTTTCCAGCCCCCATTGCTCAGTACACCCGTGTCTGCTGTCTGTGGAACTGGCCACCACGAAGTCCTTGTCCATGTTGCACTGTGTTGCCCTGTGTGAACAGCTGCCATTGCTCTGGGCCCAGACCACATCAACTCGCCGTGCCCCATCCCTCTCACTGCACCATTGGCATCCCAGAGTCCCTGGCTCCTCCTGCTGAGAGCGTACCCACCTCCCCCAGCTCCCGACACCTCTGCAGCACCAGCTCTGGTGTCCTGAATGCTCCCCACTCTCTGCATCCCATACACCTCCCAGCTCTCCATTCGCCCGCGCTCACGGCCGCTCCCTGTGCTGCTGGCGGGGGACCCTGACACCCCCTCCCTGACGCATGGTTGTTGCCCACCAGCCCTCCCCTCCCCGCTGTGCTCACGCCTCCCTGGGATGCTGCAGGTCTCCCGTGGATGGCCATGCTGGCTGCAGGGGTGTCCCTGCCTCCCCCCTGCCC